CCCCTTTATATATCCCATTTGTTGAATTTGGCTTCATTTGATGAAAGATTTTTGGCTTTAAAATATTGGAAAACTGCTATAGAAGATGCTAGGGAGTTTCCCATCTTCTTCGAAAATCAGAAAAACAAAATTTAACTGTAAATTGTGGTAGGTGGGATTCAGTTACCATAAGTCAAATTACCAAATTCTACCTATGAAAAATATTATTGCTAAGGAAAGCTGTATCATTTTCTTTTCTCTAAGGCTTTAAGAATTGCAGTGTTCTTTTTAAATGTATTTTGGATTGCATAAGAAAACCTTTTATTGTAAAAATCTTTGCATTACACAAGTACAGAGAATAAAAATGAAATTCCAACAGCCCCAATTCCATTTCTTCCCCCAAGGCAACTACTGCTAACAGACTTTTTTCCATTTATGTACATACATGGTACACGTAACTGCTCATATTTCAATCCGTTATTCTTTATCTACAGTTTTTTCCAAGTTTGGAGCAAAGACTAAGAAGACTGTTCCTTTCAGGTCCACAACTCCATGATTTTCATGGACATGTGCCTAATTCTGGAAAATAAAGCCCAAGTTAAAATAAGAAAATTTCTAAGTGTGTGGATCAGTCTGTAGGAAATTCTATATACTAGGAATGCTAAAGAGAGACATGAGTGGACAACAGCTTCTGCATATGTTTTTAGAAAATACATGCAAATGGGCAGTCAACCTACAAGCAAGTTGCCAGTCACAACATTCATAGCCACCACATCCCTTGGCTTAAGTCATACGTTATTCTTCTGTTGTAATCTGTATTTGAGTAACAGAACTCTGATACATTCCCATTATTTACTGAGTTTATGAAATCTATAAAATTTCACCATTTGACTCAGGTTAAATATTTTTCTAATGTGATTTATAGGTTGTGTATCAGTCTGAAAAATGCAGTATCTTCATTGAGAAGCAGAAAAAACTGTTACTTTTGTAGATAAGCACTTTAGTGTTAATCTAAATATACCTTGCCTCCTAGTTCTCAGAATCATTTTTTGATACACAAAAATCTCTCAAAATATCACAGTTTAATTGAAATTTTTAAAAAGAAAAACTCCTTAATTCTTAAAATCTTAAGACATATTGAAATGATAAGGTGTCATTTTACTGGTTAACTAGTAATTCAGAATATGTAAATAATATGTATCATGAAAGTAGAATAAAATTTATAGTTCTAATTTGTCACTAGTGTTGTGCAGCCTAAATGGACTAGAAAAATTTTTTGTTTATAATAAACTATAATATTTGTAACAATGGGCAAGAGTAAGCTGAAATTAACACAATAGAAAATAAAAATATTTTCTTCTGTGTATTTTTAAACTTATTGTGGAATGTATTTTCAAACTTACAGTAAACCAGGGGTATATATGAGTGGGATTGTAAAATTTTTGAGTGAAAGTATAAAAATATAGTGCAGTTGATTTGGTAGAAATGACATGAAGTCAAAGATAAAGAACTATGTAATTTCACAAATTTTTATACAGTTTAGTATGAGGCTTAGCTGATATTCACTTGTTAGTAGAAAAAGTTATTTAGCTTCTTTAGGATTTAGTTTTCTCATTTGAATATTAATGAGCTTGGACCAGGTAATTACTAAAGACCTTTCCAACTTTTGTTATTCTATTAAACTGTGATTCTATTAAAAATACACAACATCTCAAATCAATTCTTTATTTTTTTCAGATTGGCTCTTAGTAGTTCTCTTGAAGCTCTCTTGAAGATTTTTGAAGACTTCTGTAAACACAGTGAAGAAATAATTGAGATATATTAACCACAGTATTTCATTGCACCAGCATTGATGAAAAACAACGCATTTCACTTAAATTAATTTCTGGATAATTGACTTAACTGAATACCAAATTTTTATTTATTTTGACACTCTTTACATCTCTAATCATAATATATACTTTAGTGCCTTTAAAAACAGAAAATAACACCACATCATTTTTTTCTTTTCATTTTCTTCAAGGTATAAAATTACCTTTATAAAAGTCTTTATTATAGAAGGGTTCCTTCAGGGCCAATTCAGGTGTGAAGGTTCTCACTGTGGATTCATTTGATGGCAAGTGACAGAAACCTAGCTCAAACTTGTAAGAAATTTATTGACTTACCAGTAAGTCTTTGTCACATCACACAAGTCTTAACTCTTTTGTCACATCATTCTTTGGAAAGCTTTTCTTGTATATCACAGCTATTGTCAGTAGCAAATCTGGGCCTAGCAACACAACTGGAAGAAAGCTGTTCTCCAGGGGTTTCAGTTAACATCTTAAAGCTGACTCTCAGTGGCCAGGTGTGGGTCACAAGCTCATGCCTGCAACAGTCAATGTGACCAGGGAAAGAGTTCCCTTAGTGGCCAGGTCCCTCTACATTTTAATTTATAACATCTGAGGAAACCAGATGAGCAAAGTCATTTGAATTGTTTTCAAAGTAAGATTTAATGGGCTCTGAGTGAGGCATTGATATCTTCTCTATAAATAAGGAGTATAAACTTTCTACTTTTTAATGTATTTCACCTTTCTTATGCCCCTTCAAAGGTCATTTTTGAATATTTTCTGATTTTTTTTGTCAAAACTGCCTTATTAGCAGGGGATATACTATCGTCATTTCAAGATTCAGTGACTATGAACAGTAAATGCTACGAACATGGTTGCTTTAAATAAGGGTTACATTTTTGTGATCTTCCTAAATTTAAATGAATTCCTGAAGTGAGATGGTGGTTTAAATGTTCTTTTGGAAATGGAAACAGTGTAGAGAATAAACAAGCAGAACTGACCAGTTATAAATTGTTATATTGGACTTAATTTAAAAACTAGTGTTTTATTTTACCTTTTCTCTCTGCAGCATTTCTCTGAGCCCAAATAACTACTTTGGGGTCCTTGGTGGAGAATATAGGAAAATAGGGAAATTTTTTTGGAACACAAAAGTACATAAATTCCTACGAACAGCATAAGCTATATGCAACATGTCAAGTTTTGATTTTTTTGTGTTAAAAAGGGCCAGAGTAACATTAATAAAATAAATTCTCAAGGCTTCATTTTAGCCAATAAGTTTATGTTTACTAGAAATAATCATTTATACTTGTTTATTTAAAAAATTCTTCATAAGTGGCAGAATTGGCTGATTTTGAGGGTTTGATAAATTAGGTGATTCTAGTGACACTGCCCAAAAGTTTCTGTGTAATTCTACTAATGGGACAGGTGAAGAAATGAGAGTGGTGAGTGTTACAGTCACCTAATCAAGAAGCTGGGCTTGAAAGAGGTAAAAAAGCATCATCAAAGAAAATCAATGAGATTAAGTTGTAAATCTTCAAGATTGAGGAGACATTGTCCAGCTTAATAGGGAAAACAAAAAAAATCTGAGAGATAATTAGGGAGAAGGAATACCAGTGGCTAATAACCAACACTATTAAATGCTTACCAAGTGCCTAGTTGGAACTACTCTTCTGCATTTTATAAATGAGGAATTAGTTACAAAGAGATTTAAATATTTGGCATATAATGGAGCTAGACTTCAGACCCAGAAGACTTCAGACTCCAGAGCCAGCAAACTTCATCACCTACTACACTGGGGAGTCATTCTCTACAGAGGGGAAGCCCAAGGGCCATGGTTTGGGATATGATATCCTAACTCTCCAGCTTCAATACTGGTAGTCTCCCACCACATATTAAAACAGTTTCGTTGAACCCCACTGGCTTTCATGTCTCTGGTCTTTAAGACAAGGGTTTTATTTTCCTGTCAAAATGCTGTTCTTTCTCACCATGAGTCTAAATCTTAGAGTGTTTAATTATAAAAATTATATGTAGGCATATATATATAGCTATATATATATATATATNTCATATGATTTTCTCTTTTAAGTTTGGCTACTAGTAAAAAGAAATCTTGCCTAATAGTGGTTTAAACAATTACTTCAAAGTTTGGCATCCATGACTGATGCAGCAACTCAAGGATGCTGTCAAAGAGCTGTCTCCTATTTTATTTATCGACTCTCCTTAGTATAGGGCTTTTTATTCTCATGGTTGAAAGATGGCTGCTGGCTCTCCAGGTAGTGTATCTACCTTCTAGGAAGGAGAAAGGGAAATATTAGAGGGCAAAGAGCAATCAGTGTGATCCTTGAAAGGCCTTGCCTTACTGTTTGGGGAATGAAAGCCCTCCCCAGGGACTCCCGTTTGTATCTCATAACAGATCTGTGACACATGGCCACCTCTAGCTGCAAAAATGGTTAGGAATTGGAGAATTTCGGCTTTTCAGTTTATATAACATGGGAAGCCAAGGGAGAAGAAATTGGAGAGGGTGTTTATAGAGCCTACATATATGTCTGCCCGTTAGGTTTTTTAGTTACTTTAATAAGTTTATTTTTCATGGTATACTGTAAGTACACAGATGCAAAGAATGATTCTAGGTAGTCTTTGAATTACCCAGCATGACTACTAGCAGACTGCCATAACACTAATCACCGTGTCTAGACATTGTTACTACTCAATGTTGCTGTATTTTTTAGAAACAAGAACCAAGCAGAAACTAGTGACTCTATAGTTTCTCTGAAAATAATGGAATACATAGTTTTCTCTTCGGTGACTCATTTCCTAATATCAACATTGGAAATGCCTGAAGCTTTCCAGCTTCATTAAGTTAGCCCACTAGAGAGGACAGTTTAACAGTAATATTGCTTGGAATATTTGAAGTATAAATTGAAAAAACAGGGTAGAAAGGAAATCATATAAAGATGTGGTCAACTAGGGCATTTTCAAGAGAGGTAAAAAGATAAGATTAGGATAATATATTGTAATGAAAGGAAAGATTAACAATTGAAAGTTAAGAATAATCTAATTTAAAATACTTAGCCATTTAGAGTTATAAGTGAAAAAAAATACAACTCATTCATTTAAATTGCCCAAATTTCTGTTTAATTCATTTAAATCTCAATTTGTTCTATATCTGTCTATACTGTTTTTCCATCAAAACAGATCTTGTTCCTCTTCCTTCTATCATCTCACTCTCAATTATAAATTATGGGGGATAAAGATAAAACAATTAAATGTGAAGATTCAGAACCATCCGCAGAGTGGAATCACGCCTCTACATATCAGGAAACACAGGTAAATCTGTGATCAAATGTAGAACATCCTAACGGTATCCTTAAGTAAGGGACTGTATGTATTTCCAAATCTCTGATAAAATTGTTTTCCCTTCATTCTCTGTCACTCAGCAATTCTTCCTATCCTTAATCCCCAAACTCATACAGTAGGTGTGACTGCCAGTTTTCCCAGATAGTCATTAGCAGCCTATCCTACATGAGACTGGGAAAATGGAGAGCTTGTGAAATGCTTTGTTTTCCCATTCTGAGCTCTTGAATAATTCTGGTTCCTTCTATCTTTTTATTGCTTAAATTCAAGTAGATAAATGAATATGAATTCATTTTTACCATAGATATCTTTTTCTGAGCCACTTTGATGTATTTACTATTGCTTTGAATCATATCTTAAAGTCTAGTTAAAACCAGTATTACGAAACATAATGAAATTTTATGTGACTCAAGTATTTGTAATGCTACACGTAGTGACTCAGTGGTAAATATTCCTAACATATTTCTTGTTCCAAGTATTTGCTGATTAACTAGTAATAAAGCTTTGCATTTCCCCTGTAATTAGCCTTGATTCTAGCACTGAGAACTTAATTTATGATGTGATGTTTCAGTAACTATAAAAATGTACAGCACATACACATTTTTAAGGATTTTTTAATTGCTTTAAACACAGGAGGAAACAGTTATGAACCCCAAAGATACAGGTGAAAATGAACCAACAGAAGGAAGTAACCTACTGAATAACAGTGGAAAAAAGCTACAAGAAATACCAACTAAATCAAATATTTGGCAAAAACTAAGACAAAATTTTGCTTGTCCTCCACATGGTTTGCTGGATAGATTAATAACAAATGGTATGTAAATTGTAGGGATGAATTCTGAAACAGAGCATAAAAGATAGTTATCGTAATTAGATATTTCTAAATAATTTGGTTTAAAGGACAAAAATGTAATTTACTTCTTTTACGCATAAAAATGACTAGGTGAACAATTCACAGTGGTAGGTAGCTCTGCTCCGGTCAGAGTTCCAGGCTGACAGGACTCCACCATCTTCAGCATGGAGCTTCTAAGAGCACTGTCACCACCATTCCAGCTAGCAGGAAGAAGAAAAAAGAAAAGATCAAGGACATTTTCCTTTTCTCTATCTGAGCAATTTCACAAAATTACATTAAGGCTCCAATGAGTAAAATGATTGGGAAGTGACTTGTAAACAGAGAAACACTACATAAATGTTTGTTCTTATTACTGTTAAGTAATGCAACTAATGTTTGAGCCAACACAACTGCATTTATACTTCCAAATGAATCCATCATTTTATAAATAATGATTTGGGTTTCTAATTTAACTTATTCCAATAGGGCTGCTATCACTTGAAACATTTTGGGGATTTTCTTTTGGAAATTTTTCTCAGCACTATTTTGGATATTGTTAAGGCAGGGATATATTTGTCTTTTAGGAATGGATTTGGTTTTTGGAGGCAGCCAAATATTCTGATATCAATTTGATGAATAAATTGATATTCAAATTCAGTAATGCAGTTTTTTGTTCAAAAAGGAAGAGTATGTGTGTGTATTGTGTATATTGAAGGATGTGTAGTATAGAAGGGAAAAGAAGGTGTTTAAAAATTGTCTCCAAAGGCAAATTTTAAATTTCAAAAATCATGTTTAGGAATGATAGCATTATTGGAATAAATATATAACCTCCCAAAATAATTATGTTGAAGAATGTAACATTGTACCTAGGAGTTATGTTAACTAAAAAATTAGACTGACTTCTTTATAGTAATACTCCATATGTGATCTCTGAAAGACATTTTTACCATCCTCAACTGGGGCAATGGAAGTCAAGTATAATATTATACTCTAGGCTCTTGATATGTTTTTAATGAAATTAGGCAAGTTTCTAAACTAGTATGAGAAAAAAACTCAAGCTTTATTGAAAACACAGAAAAACCAGGTTCCAAAATACATACTAATTAATAAGGCAACAGATACTAATACGTTTTCTGTCCTTTATTTTTTTTTAAGCTTTCACTATTCAAATTATGGCACATTTATAGTTAAAACATTTATAGTAAAGCAGATACAGATTGAATTAAGGAAAGGGTATTCATGAATGATGTGATTTAGAGACTCATATTTTAAAATTCTATAATCATTGTCCATAAGGCTGCCTGAGAAGTGGGGACTCACTATATATAAACACCTCTTCACTTGTTTTCCTGTACTTCTGTTCCTGATGCTTACAAGACTGCTTTTTCCCTCCATACTCCTTCCTATGCCCATTCGGTATACTTTACTTCTTAAGAGGTAAATCTAACATGTGGAAGTATGATTTTCCAAAATCATAAGTGGAAATAAATTATTAACTGAATTAAATGTAATTTAGAGAAACCTTATAAATATACATTTACCATGTATTTAGAATTGCATTTTGAATATGAGAAAGGAAGTGTCAATTAGAGGTTTAAAGAAAGAAAGTGGTCTTGAAGTAGAAAACTCTTAATTCTGTCTTTCTGAATTTAGTGTATAATCGGGTTTATGCTGTGATAAAGTAAAATTTGGTAGCTGGAAATTCCTGTTTTCCTATCACACCTCCTATACTTGCATTGAAATTTCAGCCCCTAGCAATAGCATCATAAGCCTAGAAAATCTGGAACAGTTCTCTAAGGGTTTAAAAAATGGGACACTAGATTTGATCTCTAGCAATATGGTAAAAAAATGAATAATCATCTCACTTATGACAATGAAAACATCTGAAATAAATATATTAAGTTTTTTTAAATATACTTTTTATCTATCTAGAAAACAAAGTCATTCAGACCAAAAACAAAGTATAAGTTGGATAAATAAATAAGCAGTCAAGCTGGCTTTCACTCTGGAGGCTTTCTTCAAAACACCAATGAACTTCAATTTTGAGAACCATGAATATATAGGAAGCTATGCTAGATAATGCCAGGTTGGGAGAAGTATTATAAGAGAAATCATACTTCCTCACCCACCCTAAGTTGGAATGCAATACAATTGTGAATTTGAAATAAACCTGCCCCACAAAGGGAGCCTGCAACTGAATCTATCAAAACTGAAGTGCTGGCTAGGGAAAAGGGAGAATCTCCACCAAAAATGTATTAACTTCATGCTGGTTTTTGCTTCAGATTCTCACACACAGACACACACACAAACTCAAACTGAAAATATATATAAAAGTGGTCCTGGATTGTAAGCTGCTAAATGCATGGGAAAAGTAAATTCAAATCCTATCTGTGAAAACACATTCAACCTAAGGCTCTAACAATTCCCAAAGACAAGGTCCGAGGAAGAGCTCACTGTCACCAAAAACACCAAAGTGAAAATCACAGTATGCACAAGGAACAGATTTCAAAAATCTCCATCATTGGAAAATAGAGTGTGAGTAGAAACAAGTAACTTTATAAAGAGATTTTAATAACCAAATTGAACTTCTGGAAGAAAGATCTAGTACAGTAATTGAAAGTTAAAATTCAGTGAATAGATTTGGCAGCAGATTCAGTGAAAAGAAAATTTGTGAACTAGAAAACAGATCTTAAGACCTAATTTACCATACAGCACACACAAAGATGGAAAATACAAATCTAGAGTTAGCCATATGGAGAAGGGAGTGTGACTGGCTAATCGTTCCAGAAAAAGAGAATAGGAAGGATGGACAAGAAGAAATAGTTGAAGAAATAAAGACAAAGTTTTCCAGAATTGATGGAAAACAAATTCTAAGTAAACCAAAAAGAAGCCATACCTTAGAAAATCACACTGTAATTGCAGAAAACCAAAGAAAAAAGCTCTTAAGAAAAGCCAAAGAAAAAGAATTCCCTAGAAGAGCTGAAATCAGACTTAAAAACAACAATAAAAGCCAGAGGACCAAGAAGTAGTATATCCAATCAACTGAAAGTAACTCTCAACTTAGAATTGTGTACCTTATTAGAAAAGCTATGGCTTAAGAATGAGAAAGATAATTCCAGACAAATAAAACTTAAGAATTTACTAGTAACAGATCCTCATGAGAAATAGAACATGCTTTGCTACAGAGTGTTTCTGTACCATGAATTCGTTCATATGTGATGGTAAATAGGGAACTGTGTCAGCATAACATGGCATTTGCATTTTTGTGTACCCAGTTTTTCCTGGCACATTAATGTTTTGCCACCAGCAAGCAATAGCAAGTAAGTACAAAGTGAATTGAAAAAAAAATCAGGTATATGGTTTCTTACAATTAAAGATGAGGACCTTTTAAAAATCTGAACTGCTTGTGGAAGTGCTTTCTTTTCAGCCTGTTAGTTGCTGGTTTAGGGGCTTCAAAGACTTCCCACTTGCCATCACATTAAGCTTTCTAATGAAACCACATGTGAATAAAGAAGCTGACAGTACAGGTGAAGAAGGTGCCAGCACTTTCCTTCACCTAAAGAAAACCAATCAGCAGCAGCACCATCTGATTGCTGGAGAAGGCTACAATCTGGGTCAGGTTTTTGATGAAATGGCCCTCTAAAGCAAGTGTTCTCAGAAGTAGTAAGTGTGGTCCCAGGGTTTAAGTCAGCAAGAAAGTGACAGTGTAAGATATAAATGTCAGTGATTTAACTGCCAGTACTTTTATTACAATTATTGTTTTTGTTTGTGCTTTGGTCACAAGGTTTGAATTTTGAATGGTCTGTCCAATTCTGTGTCCCCCATGAGCCTTTCAGTTTTCAGTGTACAGTTCTATAGATCACAAGGTTTTCAAACAGGGAAACATATTTTACATTCTAACAGAAATGCCTCTCCTAAAGGAAATACTTCAGGCAACAAAATAATTGTCCCAGATGAAAGGTTTGAGATACCTTAAGAAATGATGATTTTTTTTAAAAAGGTAAGTATTTGGGTAATTTTAAGCACTGATTATAGAAAAGAAACTAATAATGTTCAATTCAAAATACTGCAATGTACTTTTCAAGTATTCTCATGTACCTGTAAAGGGTAAAGATAGCAGTTGTTTTTCTTTTTATTAACTAGTAAATATTTATGGTAAAATAAAGAAATATAACAGAATTGGTAAAAAATATTCAAGATAGTAGCTCCTTCTGGCAGTGTGAAAAGAGATGGAGGATATAAGGATTAGGAGAGGCACTCAAGAGGGCTCAAAGTCACTGGTAATATCCTATTTCTTAAGATGACTTGTAATTACTGAGTTGTTCCTAAAAACTTTCATATGGTTATAAATATTTGTATATGTATTCAATATTTACTTAAAAAATTTTTAGATTGTATTATTAAATATACAATAGATATTAAGATTATAAAATTTTTAGACTACAAGTGTTTTTATTAAAGTCTATGTATTTATATTAGGTTACAAATGTTTATTAAATTATGTTACACATATTAAATGTCCATTAAAACCTGCATGCATATGACAATTGGTAGAAACTCGTTGTCCTGATTTGTTTCAGTTGTCATCATTGTTCTTCTGTGGGCTGTAGTTTGGTCAATTACTGGGAGTGAATGTCTTCCTGGAGGAAATCTGTTTGGAATTATAGTCCTATTCTACTGTGCCGTCATTGGAGGTAAACTTTTGGGGCTCATTAAGCTACCTACATTACCTCCGCTGCCTCCTCTTCTCGGTAAGTGCTAAACACTTCCTGTCTTCTTCACATAAATCATATTCTGACAAGTAGTTTGGAAAACTTTGGGAGATAATATATATAAAATATTTCTGTATTTGCTGTGTCAAAGCCAAAGCCAATTGTTAGATTTTGAGTTCAGTGAGCCACTAAGCTCAGTGATTATTAAACATTAAATTGTATATACTTGTAATTAAATAATTTGCATTAAAAACAAGAGCAGTACATAATCAAAAGTGCTTACTTCCTAATTATTTTACTATGTTTTTCCCTTATTTATGCCCTTGTTAGTGGAAATAATATATAATGGTGTGCCACTGGCTCTCTCTTCCCAATGCCACATTCAGTGACATCATGTTAATAGCTCAACATTGGCCATGGTGAAAGTATTTAAAAGACAGAAGTCAGCAAATGCTACAAATCAGGGCTTGATATATTGTAAGTTACTCGCACCATACTAGACAAACAAGTGAAGTTTTGACACTGGCATTGTCATTATTTCATTTTCATCTTATTCATTAACAAAAACAAAAATATCAACCAGCATTCATGGTGGTACTTTACTTGCTCATCAGTGATGTGAGTGACTTCTTTGCAAAACCAGATAGTGGTCAAGCATTTATTTGTAGCCTGATTTTGTCAACTCATGATTGAAATGCAACTACAGTAGGTTATAGGTACAAGAGTTCAGCAATGAAAGCATCTAAGAATCAGTTGGCTATATGGGACTTACAGTGATGATTGTTGTGTATCTGTAAATTGTATTCTATACATCCTTGGTATGCTATACAAACTTGTGATATATATTTTACATATATAAAGTGCACACTTATGAGGGACCCACTTGTTAAGCACTTACCAGCACACCATAGGATATATTGTATTATCATGGTTGTTAAAAAAGTTAGCCAAAAATATTTTTCCAGAGACCGTCATAACTGCCCAAACATGTATGTGAAATTAGTCTTTAAACTAGGCATTATATCTTTTAATACTTCTTTAAAGAATTCCATATTACAAAATTTCAATTTATCGCTTTCAGTATACCGCAGAAGGTATTTTGTGTCCATTTCTAACAGATTTATAAATCACTAAGTTTTATTTAAAAATCACATACCTTTTACATGTGCATATATATTCTCACACATTTCCTGAATAAGAATGTTTTGTTATACTACATTGGTGAGGACAATCAGGATGGTTAAAATAGACCAAAATTATTTGCTTTTGAATTCGTCATCAGTAGTTGAAGCTAAATATAAAAAGAAGTAGGATTATTTAAATCTTACTGTGCACTATTTCTCAATATATATTTCAATATATATTGAGTAAAGCTAGTTACTTTGCTTAATTCATAATTATTTGTCATGAGTGGTTTTTATTCTATGAAGAACTGAATAAATGTTAAGGTGATTTGTTTCTAAATGTGCACGTATGGTATGGTAAAGGGTTGGCAAACCACCTCTTTTTGTAACTAAGATTACTGGAACATGCCCATGCTTGTTCATTTATGTATTGTCTGTGGCTACTTTGGCACTATCAGGTTGAGATGTTGTAGAAGAGATTATGCAGCCCATAAAGGCTAAAATGTCTCCTCTCTGGTCTGTGCCAGAAAATATTTGCTACCCCCTTGTCTTGCCAATCGGTTTCAACCTTGGACAAGTTCACTATGGATTCAATGAGACCGAAAAAATGACAAGTGGACTATTCTTGGGGTGAAAGGATTTATACCCAACTTTATTTCCACAGTGGCAGGTCAATCACTAGAACCCTGTCTACTCAGAGCTAGTCTGCATGCATCATACCAGTCTCTGCCCCTGGGCCTCTCCATCCCTGCAGCTGTCTCAGTCTCTGTCCTTGGTGCTACCACCACCAGCCTCATCTCTGCCCTTCTGAAGCCTTGCACCCAAGCCGCTCAGAGCACTGGGTGGAGCTCTTTATATAAAGTCAATTACAACGTATTGCCCACACGTGTGTAGTGAGCAAGCCAAACCAGGGCCAGGTGAGAATCCTGGCCGTAGGAACCTTCACTGTATCTACACCCCTGTATCTAACTCAGTGCTTCTCAAACTTGATTGTGCAGAGAAATGTATCTACACCCCTGTATCTAACTCAGTGCTTCTCAAACTTGATTGTGCAGAGGAATGACCCTGGGATCTTATTAAAATGTGGATTCTAATTAAGTAGATCTGTGAATGGGATCTGAGATTCTGCATTTCTTATAAGCTCAAAGATCACTTTTTCCATAGCAAAATTGGTAAGTTTTCAAACCTGACTGCACATAGGAATCATCTCCGAATTTTTTAAAAAGCTGACACCTGTGTCATACTCCAGAGATTCTGAATTAATTGGTGTGGCCTATGCCATGGGTCTCAGGATTTTTCTCAAGTGATTCTAATATGCAAACTAAGTTGAGACTACTGTACTAGACTCCCTATAAATGCCTTTTATACCTCATCCTTCTGTTTTAAATCCCATGTCTATTTTTGCCACAAGCAAAATATGCCACGTTAGCAGGTGATACAGCCTTGGGCTTTGTGATCATATGAAATCTCCTGAGGCACCTGAAATCATTCTGAAAGGTCACATACATGATGTATCTCACCACCCCTTCTTATAATGTTGTATTTGTGATAGAGAAAAATGTCTACCAGTTCTTATAGTACTGGGAGCCACTATCCAAAACTGAAACATCATCTGACTCCATATAGAAGCCCTGAGACAGAATATGTGTGAAGGTTGCCTATTTTATATTTTTAAGAGTTCATTGAAATAATTTCTGGAGCTGGGGGATGAAGAAACATTTGTTATTCCCCAAATCAATAAGAAAACCTTTTCTAAGGGACACTGTGTCCTTTGCCAATGACCTGGGTTGATGAGGCCACCCGGCTTTGATTTGGCTGGTGGCCCCTTCTTGCCTCTAAGCCCATGGGGACTCCCTTGGTTGTAGAGGAAAGAACATCTTCCTTGATAGATAACTACTATTCCTCTATTTCTTTATTTGTATTGTGGAAATTTTTTTCAATCATGATTTACTTCAAAATAACTTGGGAGTAGATGAAATAAGATTGGCCATGTAATAATAATTTTTGCATATTTTTAAATTTTTTTCCATAATACAAATGAAGAAAAAAATACTCCTCTATCAAGGAAATTGTTCTTTCCTCCACCACGAAGAGTCCCCATGACCTTAGAGGCAAGAAGGGGACACCTGCCAAATCAAAATCAGGTGGCCTCATCAACCTAGTCCATTGGCAAAGAAACAGTGTCCCATGGAAATTGTTTCCACATTGATTTTGGGGAACAAAAAATGCTCCCTCATCCCTCCTAAAACTCTAAAGTAAAGAAACTTAGCATATTTTTGAGTTCTTGTTAGATTATTATTCCTTTTGATTTCAGGTGGTTACATGCTATAATTCATCTAAGACTGGTGTAAATCTATATTTGAAGTTTCAGTAAAAAAAAACTATTGACATATTAATGAAATGTAAGATTAGTGCAACATTTTTAGCTCACGATTTATTGATATTTTTGATATATATATATACCTGTACCCCAGGGCTTAACATTTCCACTGCTAAGAATTATCCAAGGATATACTTGCACAAACTTACAGATACATAAGCTCCATGTAGATGAGGCCCGTGTTGATCTAGCTCACCTCTGTATCAGAAGGTATTGTCAGGGTCCAGTGTGTAGTGGGTATTGGTAGCACCTATGGTGAGGAGGCTCACTGCAGCTCTGTAATGAAAAATCTGAGAAGTTCCTTAAAGTCCATTAATTGGCCCCAAAATTATGGCACATCCAAACAGTGAGATACTATTGCAACTATTATAAAATAAGGCAAACATGTATGTGCTTCACTGGGGATATGTCCAGGATATATTGTTAAGTGGGGGAGGGGGAATTGTACAACGGTATAAATGTGCTTCCATTTGTGTCCAACACAAAAGAGGAGGTGCACACACATATACACAGACACACACACACACACACACACGCACAGAGGCATGCTAATTTAATATGTATAGAAACTTTCTGGAAAGGCACATAAAATCCTTAACAATGAAAATCTTTTGGGAATGAACATTGAAAGTTGTAGCTTAGGTGGGGCATGTACTTGTCACTTTACACTTGTCAGTGATTTTTTTTTTTTAACCATGGGCACGTATTATTCTTTATCATTATTCTTTTAAAAACAGCTATTGTAGGCAAGTTCGTACTTTCAAAAAGTCTAGAAAGACCATGACTGTAGAATTTAGAATTTGGAAACCTCCAAATTAAAGGCAATGATGAAAAATGTCTGTAAATGATGCTTCCTTGCCTAACAGTGTATGAAGCAAGTCACAAAAAGCTGTACTTGTAATTCATCTCTATTCTCACAGTTTACATGCAAAACAGCCTAACGTTAGTAAATTTATTTAGTCATTTAACATGTGGTGTTTACCAGGACATGGTGAGAAGAGGGTACTTCTGGAGAAGAAAGGACGGTAGAAGCCTCAGTGTCTGATGGAGAAGTTTTTCTCTTTGGACATGTGGCATCAATAAGGGCAAGATTCTCTCACAAACTTTAGCTTCTTCAATCACACTCTACTTGCAGTTCCCAGAATGCATCACACTTCCTCTTCATGCTTTGGAAGAAATTGCTGTCTCTTACAGGAACTTCTCACTCCTCAGCTCCTTCTTCCCTTCTCTGGACCTCTCTGACTCACACTTCCTGCCTCAGTTCACACAACACCTCCTCATGCTTCCATAAAATTGAGATTGTCAGTTTATCTTGCTCCTCTAAAGGCTGAATGTTTATCAAGGAATAGCGCTGATTTTTTTTTATTATTATGTCTCTAATATTAAAGGTCTAAAATACTAACGGCATGTGACAAATGTTGAATGGCTGAGTGAAAGAAGAGACACCAGCTAACGTGTAGAAATGTCCGTTTTATCTTAATTCACTTCTAAGCCTTTGCAAAACAGGTTACATGTTTTTTATTAAATTACCTGGTTTGAAGGAAAAAATAGTGCCCATGTAGTTACTTATTGATACCTCTGGTAATATGACATAGCAAATAATTTCAGGGGCTGTTTGCTCTTTGTGCACAAAGTGGTGACTCAGTTGGGCATCATACTAAGACATTTTACCTTTAAAACTGATCACCCTTTCTATTTAAATACTGCATCTTGTCTCTCCCTTTCAGGTTCAGTTATTTAGGAATTATTAATTATTCTAATGTGTCTTTTTTTAAATTAAAGTATCATTGATATACAGTCTTATGTTGGTTTCAAATACACAACAGTATTTTAACATTTACCCATATTATCAAGTCCTCACCCCCTCCAACACACACACACACACACACGCACAGAGGCATGCTAATTTAATATGTATAGAAACTTTCTGGAAAGGCACATAAAATCCTTAACAATGAAAATCTTTTGGGAATGAACATTGAAAGTTGTAGCTTAGGTGGGGCATGTACTTGTCACTTTACACTTGTCAGTGATTTTTTTTTTTTAACCATGGGCACGTATTATTCTTTATCATTATTCTTTTAAAAACAGCTATTGTAGGCAAGTTCGTACTTTCAAAAAGTCTAGAAAGACCATGACTGTAGAATTTAGAATTTGGAAACCTCCAAATTAAAGGCAATGATGAAAAATGTCTGTAAATGATGCTTCCTTGCCTAACAGTGTATGAAGCAAGTCACAAAAAGCTGTACTTGTAATTCATCTCTATTCTCACAGTTTACATGCAAAACAGCCTAACGTTAGTAAATTTATTTAGTCATTTAACATGTGGTGTTTACCAGGACATGGTGAGAAGAGGGTACTTCTGGAGAAGAAAGGACGGTAGAAGCCTCAGTGTCTGATGGAGAAGTTTTTCTCTTTGGACATGTGGCATCAATAAGGGCAAGATTCTCTCACAAACTTTAGCTTCTTCAATCACACTCTACTTGCAGTTCCCAGAATGCATCACACTTCCTCTTCATGCTTTGGAAGAAATTGCTGTCTCTTACAGGAACTTCTCACTCCTCAGCTCCTTCTTCCCTTCTCTGGACCTCTCTGACTCACACTTCCTGCCTCAGTTCACACAACACCTCCTCATGCTTCCATAAAATTGAGATTGTCAGTTTATCTTGCTCCTCTAAAGGCTGAATGTTTATCAAGGAATAGCGCTGATTTTTTTTTATTATTATGTCTCTAATATTAAAGGTCTAAAATACTAACGGCATGTGACAAATGTTGAATGGCTGAGTGAAAGAAGAGACACCAGCTAACGTGTAGAAATGTCCGTTTTATCTTAATTCACTTCTAAGCCTTTGCAAAACAGGTTACATGTTTTTTATTAAATTACCTGGTTTGAAGGAAAAAATAGTGCCCATGTAGTTACTTATTGATACCTCTGGTAATATGACATAGCAAATAATTTCAGGGGCTGTTTGCTCTTTGTGCACAAAGTGGTGACTCAGTTGGGCATCATACTAAGACATTTTACCTTTAAAACTGATCACCCTTTCTATTTAAATACTGCATCTTGTCTCTCCCTTTCAGGTTCAGTTATTTAGGAATTATTAATTATTCTAATGTGTCTTTTTTTAAATTAAAGTATCATTGATATACAGTCTTATGTTGGTTTCAAATACACAACAGTATTTTAACATTTACCCATATTATCAAGTCCTCACCCCCTCCAGTGTAATCACTGTCCATCAACATAGTAAGATGATATAGAATCACTAACTATTCTAATGTATCATTTTTATGTGCATATTGAAGTGTGTCCTAGCTCCTCTGATTTATTATTTTGATTTTTTCATTAAAAGTTTAACCTAAATTAATCTAAGGACTAAGCAGAAAGGTAGTGGTTCCTGGGATTATAAGGTAGTCTCTTTCACACCTTAAGTGGTAACAAATATTTTTCCAAGTTTGAAAACCCCTAAGACTGTTTGGCTTTTCTATTTCAGGCATGCTGCTTGCTGGGTTTCTCATAAGAAACATCCCTGTCATCAATGATAACATACAGATCAAGCACAAGTGGTCTTCCGCGTTGAGAAGCATAGCCTTGTCTATCATATTGGTTCGTGCTGGCCTTGGGCTTGATTCAAAGGTATAAAGTGAAAATTCCTAATTATTGAATCAGAATGTCACTCTTCCAATATTGCAAGTTTTTAGAATGATTAAGAGCTTTAGGAAATGTATACGTGCACTTTGCATGACATTCTCAAGAAGAGAATGGAATTCATTTTGTACAGAACTCCCCGGAAGATTTTCCCACAGTCTTTCTTGGAGGAAGATGGAGTTATTGCTGGGGATGGCACCAAGAATAAAGGCTCTCCTTTTCTTTGAAAGATGTATAGGCCATAATTATAAATAATAGTCATGAGAAAAGACATCAAATTTTTGTGTACTAAGCTCTATATAAGTGTTTAGACCTAACTCAGGAAACTGCCTATTACATAGAATGAGTCTCAAGTAAGCCTGTTTTTAATTCTTTTTTATGCATATGTTTTTGAATGCAGAAATGAATATTCTTAAGGATGCAGGTTTTCAACCTCACTCTGGTGCCCCAAACTGTAAACCTAACACTGAGAGAAGTAAATCAGCTAATGTGGGAATTACAAGCCCAAACCCTGGAAGCAGCCTGCCTGGGTTCAAACCTAATTCCTTGACTCACTAACTTGATGATCTTGAGGAAATTATTTTAACTTCACCTTTTTTAAAAAAGGACATCCAGAAAGTAGAAATAATAATGTTACCCATATCATAGGGTTGCTATGAAGACTAAATAAGCTATTTCTAAAACAGAACACTGAAATGTTTCTTCAATAAAATTTATTACCTGGAAGAGTCATGATGATCCAGACATGGTCTGAACACTGCAAAAAAAAGCATTTAATATCATAATCTCTGCATGTCGTTAGGAATTATTTTAGTATGTTTATTTTTATATTTCAGGCTCTGAAGAAGTTGAAGGGTGTTTGTGTAAGGTTATCCATGGGTCCTTGTCTTGTGGAGGCATGCACATCTGCTCTTCTTGCCCACTTCCTAATGGGTTTACCATGGCAATGGGGATTTATACTGGGGTAATTATTTTCTTTATCATATGAAAATATGCACAGATGATTAGGGCTTTCTCTGATTTCATGCAAGAGAATGCATTGTAGCATTTTTTAAGAATATTAGAAAGTACAGCATAGATATTCCAGCATAACCTTAATAGTATAACTTCAAAATATAGTATATAGTGATTATAATTTAAACTTTTATAAATTATAGTGATTATATTTTATTTTAATTATATTTTATTTATTATTTTTTATATTTATATTTTATTTTATTTATTAAATTATAGTGATTATAATTTAAACTTTTGGAGAAGTAATGGTCTTTTACTTATACCTGATCCATGCTGATGAGAGAGAGATGACAGATCTCCCCCAAAGTATGCTGGGTCTCAGTGTACAAAAGTATAATTAATATATCAGCAGCAATCAACACCTAGCATTGTTTTCCTCCTTCTTTTGTCACCAGACTATTATGATTAGGCAGTTGTGCTGACTCTTCCTTCCACTTTGTATTTACTTCTTGTGGTTAAAAACCACGAGAACTAAATAAATATGGAAGTACTTAGAATTTAGTACAAATAAGTAGGCAAGAAGTAAGAAGCTCTAATTTCTCTTGGTTAAGACTCTGGAGCTATACTGCCTGGATCTAAATCCCAATTTTGTGACTTTCCAGTATGTGATCTTTGGAATATTATGCAATCTATCTGTGCCTCAGTTTCCTCATTTGCAAAACAAAGATAATGATTAAAGTCACCTCATAGATTTGTTGTGAGGATTAAATTTGTTAATATATGTAAAGTGCTTAAAGTTGTGCTTGGCACATAGTGAGCAGTAAAAATGCTTCCTGCCATTACTATTGCTATTAGTAGTATCATTGTTACTGTTACTATGGACTTCTTTCATCTGTTGTCTTATTTTACATACCAAATCCTGACAGAAGGCCTAACATCACTGAGTTCCGGTTCAAAAGATCCCTGGCTGTGTTTTTCAAAGCTCATACCATGAATATTTAGTTAAAAAAAAAAATTCCTGGGGCATAACCCCATTGGGTCTTCTGTACTATATTTATTTTTCTTTTTTTTAGGCAACCTAAGTAGTTCCAATACAGGTTGTCCATGGCCACACATTGAAAAAGTGTTCTGTAGAACTTGTATGTGTGTATGTGTCTTGTTGGATGCTTCGCTGCCATTTGAAAGACCATAGTGGTCTAAAGTGCAGCCTTTAAAGAACAGAGATTATTATCATTTCAATTATGATAATAATAAGTAAGATAACTATCAAAAAGTCTCAAGCGCTGCCTTCTTAGCTTTGTTCTAGGTGCTGTATCTCCAGCTGTCGTGGTGCCTTCAATGCTGCTTCTGCAGGGCGGAGGCTATGGTGTTGAAAAAGGCGTCCCGACCTTACTTATGGCTGCAGGCAGCTTCGATGACATTCTGGCCATCACTGGCTTCAATACATGCTTGGGTGTGGCCTTCTCCACAGGTAAACTGATCAGTTCACACTGTGCTGTTCTCCTGCTCTCTAGAGGCATAGATTATGATACATAGTACAAGCATGGCATATTTGCTTGATGATTGATTAAGACAAATTAATATAGAGAAATCAACTCCAAGAATTAGTTCTATACCTAAAGAGGGACCAGGTGCTTCCTATCTTTCTGCCTTTCACCTCTAGACAGAAACTGCTCAAGTAATCTGGAAAGTGCATTACAGGGGGATGCAGAGTATCAAAGTTTAAAAAAAGACTAGAACAGCTTTTGCATAGAGCCTTCCAGGAAAGTTTAATCTTGGACACTTCACACAGGGCTGAGTAGTTTCTTCAATGAGTGCAAATGATGAAGAACAGTCCAAGTGGAAGGAACTCTTCTAAAATAGGAACAGTTTGTGCTCTTTCATCTTTAACATTTTATGGGTAATAACAGCAATAATTTAAATGGGTTATCTTATTAACACCAAGTATTGATATGGACATACTTTGTTTTAAATGGTGACAAAAGAATTTAAAGTATTCCCCCCTCCCACCATTATTTAGCACCTTTACTCTGCTTTGGCACAGCACAAGTTTTAAGTTCATTTTTAAATCTATGTCCAAGATTGCGAGGTAAGATTTGTAATTTCATATGGTTGACAAAATGTAATTGTAGCCTAAGCCTAGCTTCAGATTATGTAGTGGGACCACATCTCCTTAGAAAGTCATGTACTCTCAGTCTCTCCAACCCCCTGTAGTTATCCTCCCATTTTATGATTATATATGATTTATGCTGATGACCTAGAACCTCACCTCTTTCTATTGCCCCAGAGTTGCCTTACATTTAGTCCCTGGTGTGTTTCTCTGGTAAGTTAATCTTATCAAAACATGGCTTTCATAATATTACGTTCTGCTCAGGATTCAGAGAGGATTCCCTATTACTGCTTAGGTCAAATCTACCTTCTTGTTTTTATTTTAACTCTACTCTACCTGTCCAAACTCATGTTCTTACTGCTTTCCTAATGTATCCCTTTAAAACAATGGTGCTCAGCCTCAGCTTCACACTAGAATTTTCTGGGGAGTTTTGTAAAATATTCTTATGTGGGCATTACCTTAAACCAATTAATTAATTTTTTAATTGGGAATGAAAGAAGCCACGGGCAGCTTGAGAGCCTCCCCAGGCAACAATGCTACATTCCTTCTGCCTGCCCCACTAAGTGTGGTCCTTAGACCTTTTGGATAACAGCTACCTTGGAGCATCTTCAAAATGTAGATCCCAAGCCCTGTCAGGATTACTGAATCAGACTTTTTAGAGATGGGGCTCAAGAAGTCTTTTTTTTTTTTAATTACCTTACTATATCAGAGTGAAACTAATTAGCTACTTTCTACACATGTATAGTAAGTTATTTACTCTAGTAGCTCGAGACATATGCCACTATCAAGCTAGATGCCTTTGGCAGTCACACGGTTACCTAACAGAGAGCTACCCTAGCTAAATAGAATTACTACAGAAGAATTGTTTTTTTTTAATAAGAAAGATGATTGAAACTATAGGGGAAGAAAAACTATTTCCCCTCCACCCATCTTAGGTTCATACACTGAATCTCTGTAAATAAGAATGACACAGGACAGATTGACAAGAGAAAAACAGTTTATTAGCATGTGCATTAGTCTTACACAAGGCAGTACTCAATGATGAGTAATTCAAAGAAGTGGTTAGTATTTGGGGTTATATACCACCTTAATAAAGAACAATAATTTTGTAGAGAAATGCAAAAAAAAATGAAAAGGACTTTGAGCTTTGAGAGGCAAAAAGACAAATACATGGAAAACTAATGCTACGTAAGGGCTAGTTTAATTTTGAACTAATTTAAAGTTTCCTAAATTATTTTTACTATGGGGGAAAATATAGTTTCTACTTACTTCTATATTAATATTTCAAGAAAGCTAAGCAACAAATAAAGACTCTTCTAAGAGCAATTTTAAAAATAATTTGTTTTCAGGGTTATTTTTAGAAATAACATTTGAGAAGGGATATGTCCCTGACACTCATTGTAGTGAGAAAAGATTCTTGACTTTAATTGCCAAATTCTTAAGTCACTGAATTCTATTCATATCAAAACTACTAAAATCAATGTGCATTTATTATTAAAAAATCAGGCTCTTAAATGGTAATTTGAAAACTAGATCTATCTACTCACCCAGTAAATAATGTAATAGAACAAATAAGCTCTGAGTTGTGAATTTTATCTTTCATATTTTCTTGGGCACTCTAATTTTTATTGAAGTAAACATACAGTAAAGGGCACAAATCATAGTTTATGCCTGTTTTGAAATTTATCTCCAATAACATACATACCTTTCTTACAATATAGGTCTATTTTAAGTCACATATTTTTAAGAATGTGGAGAGCAGAAAACATCTGTAAACTTTTCCTTCTATGTAATTAGATGCTTTATGTCGATGATTAAAGAAGACTCTGTGTATATATGGATTTAGAGTTCTGCCTGAAGTTTCCTTTTTATGTGTTTTTAAGGCTCCACAGTTTTTAATGTCCTCAGAGGAGTTTTGGAGGTGGTAATTGGTGTGGCAACTGGATCTCTTCTTGGATTTTTTGTTCAGTACTTCCCAAGCAGTGACCAAGTAAGAGAATAATCAGTGGGAAAGACAGGCACTAAAATGTCAGTGGAGTTTATACATGTGCTTTCTCTACTTTTATTAGGGAATAGTAAGTAAACATTATGCCCTGCATTTATGGACACAGACACAGACATTTTTATTTTTCACTAAGTCCTAAATATGCAAAAATAAAAAGTAAAAAATCAGTTCCATGAAATAATTGAGCTAATGTGTCTTTTTCCCCCTCCAGGATGGACGTGCATGGAAGAGAGCATTCCTCATTCTGGGGCTGTCCGTGCTAGCCGTTTTCAGCAGCGTGCACTTTGGTTTCCCTGGGTCAGGAGGGCTGTGCACGCTGGTCATGGCTTTCCTTGCAGGCTTAGGATGGACCAGCAGAAAGGTGAACTTCATTTGCAGTTCTTCCACTCATGACTACTTTCTAATCAGATTATTTCTTTCAACATACTTTCTTAAGCTTAAAATTAATAAAATTATTTAATCATAAAAAGCTATTTTTATGTATATATAAATGTGTGCCCAAATGCACAGAGGCATATCCTTTTTCCCCTTATATACTGATTTATAACATAGTATCTTTACTTCAAATACATCATGGTCTTATTTCCACACTGCTTTCCTGATTCTTTGTAAAGGCTGCAGAGTATTGCCTTGTACAACTGTACTACACTGTTTAACCCAGTACCCTACTAACATGGAGACTGTTTCTAGTTTACTGCTAATACAACAATTGTTTCAATAAAATATCCTTACATGTGCCTTATTTCCTAAACTCTAAAACATGTTAGTTTTAAAACTAAAGTTTCTCAAGTCAAAGAACCACCATTATTTGACACGCACCAAGAAGGAAAAAGAATGCTGCCAATTTAGCTATGACATGACATCCTAATTTCAGAAACGTTAAAACAGCAAAATATAATGTGTCTGAGTTTACAGGATGAATTGCAGAAGTAGGACTGCTTTATAAAAAAGAGTATGTACTTTAGTACTTTTGATAGTATCAATTTGCCCTTTCAAAAGGCTATACCAATTCTTATTAACAGGATGTGAGAGGATCTGGTTTTCTGATCTGAGTATTTTCAGTCTTCAGATATTTTGCTCATCTGATAGGTGAAAAATATATCTCATTGATCTAATTTACATGTGCTTGTGAGTGAAGCAAATCATCTTTTCTTATGTTTACTAACTGGTTTGTTCAAAAGCCTGTGCCCATTTTTTGTAAGATTGTTTTGGTTTTTCTTACTGATTTCAAGATTATTAAGGCTATTCATTTTCTTAATACATATTATGGAAATTAGCTGGTTGTCATCTATTTATGTTTTATAGATACATTAAACTTCCATACATTAAACTTCAGAAGATAATGGACAAAAGGCCTATCAAATAAAAAAAATAGTAGAAAAACATATGAAAAAGTGTTCATCTTATTATTAATCAAGGAAGGATAAAAAAATGTTATCACTTTTTACCTATCAGTATGGCTCAGATTAAAAACAATAACATTCTAAACCAGTGGTTCACGAAGTATGGTCCCCAGATTAGCAGCATCAACATTGCCTGGGAACTCTTGTAAGTGCAGATTCTCAAGCCCCACCATAGCCTAACTAAACCAGAAATTTGGGTAGGGGAGGCAGAAATCTAAGTAAGACTTCCAGGTGATTCTGAGGCATGCTAATGTTTGAGAAACACTATTTTGCACTTTTGAGGATGTACTGAAATAAGTATCTCATATGGTACTGGTGGAAAAGCAAATGGATACAACTCTAGAAAGTAGTTTGGTAATGTGTGTCAAAAACTTCAAAATGTCCTTGTTATTTAACCCCCAAATTTCACACCCGCCCACACATATATAGATATGATATTAACCCTCTGTGCCTTTTTGTATTACTTTTTATTTTTAGCACACAGATGTCTTATACTTCTGTGTGGTCAGATGTATCAATTTCTTATTTTGACCTTTACTCAGTAATTTTTTTTTTCTACATTTGTCGTAACTTTGCCTAAATTGCTTGCTGCCCAGCTGGTAACGTAGAAGATGCGCCCTCTAGTTGCAAAACGGATATGTGCCCAAACCTTGGGTAGGAGTGGGCTCAGGGGAGAAATCCCAAGGTTGTCTGGGGCAGAGGAAGTATGAAGAAAGCTGAGTTCTACAGCTGTGTGGCAATAGTGAGGTGCATATCTAGACACAAGTCCTATTATAAATCTTGAAATTATATTATTGAATGGAAATTAACGGTTAAACTATGAAGTAATACTAAGTATTACGATATTACACAAACACGCACACATATTATGTATTCAGAAGTAGAAGTCCTTCTAAGATTACTTTATGACTCCTTATAATTAACACCCATTTTTTTCAAACTAACACTAATGCATCTCATATAATAACTGTGTTAGAAATACCTTATGCAATCTTTTGCTCTATTCTAGCTTACTTCTTATTTATAGATGTCCAGTAATAAAGCCTATCTCAGGTCAAATTAACTCAAATTTCAATTTAGTAAAATTCTTAGAACTTGTAACTTCACATAATAAAAACTCAAGTATGTATGTGTGTATATGTGGGTGTGTATATGTGTTTGTATCTGTGTGTTTGTGTGTGTGCATGTGTGTGTTTCTTTTAGGCAGAGGTTGAAAAAATTGTTGCAGTTGCCTGGGACATCTTTCAGCCCCTTCTCTTTGGACTGATAGGAGCAGAGGTATCTATTGCATCTCTCAGACCAGAAACTGTAGGTAAGAATTTCAAAGTAGTACTTTTGAGAAAATCATCTCTTTTATATTCAGTTGAAATATCTTTAGTAGGCATATTTATTGTCACAATTATATAAAAAGTTAATAATGATATGTCTTTTAGAATAACCTGTTCAAAAATAATGTTTGTCAATACAGGACAGTAAATTCAATACCTAATATTGTTCCATGTAAGAAATAACTTAGATAGTAGATAGTAACTACTAACTACTATCAACAAAATGCAGGCCTTAAATTTTTTTCAAAGATAAAAATGTTCACCTAACCTTGTTCTGACCAAGAACCAAAATTTTAAAAATAAGCAGTCAGTTCTATAATATATATACCCATGGAAGAGAAATGCTTGTTTGTTCATTTCTTCCTTCGTTCATTCATACACTCAAAGGCCATCATATTAAAACTTTTGATTCATAGCATTGCACTTAAAAATCCGTTTATGTATATATACTCATAATTTCCTCCCATCACAATATTCTGTCTATACTAGGGTTTCCATCATGCACCAGTTCCTCTGGATCTCACACAAATTCTTCCCTTTTCTCTTATCTCTTCAGATATCTTTGTCACAGTTTTCTCCTCTTCAGAATTTAAGCAAACTCTGGCCTCTCCTATCTCAAAATAATATCCTTTTATTCTGAGACATGTTACATGGATAAACCTGTAAGACATTACATTATATAAATAAGCCAACTTTAAAAAGACAAATACTGTAAGTTTCCACATATATGAGGTATCCAGAGTAGTCAAATTCATAGAAACAGAGTATAATAGTGGTTGCCAGGGGCTTGGAGGAGAATGAAATGGAGAGTTGTTATTTAATGGGTATAGAGTTTCCATTTTACAAGGTGAAAAAATTCTGGAGACTAGTTGCACAAAAATGCAAATGTTTAACTTAATGCTACTGAAGTGTACACTTAAAAATAGTTTAGACAGTAAATTTTGGTATGTATTTTTGCCACAATTAAAATTTAAATATACATACACACATATACATATATACATATGAATATATGTGTGTATATATATTTATATATATCTCCTTTCTCTATTTCACCTCCCTGCTCACCTGCCACATTTGCTTCTCTATTACTTTTTTCAAACCTTTCCAAGGAGGTAACCACAGCGCCCTCTTCCATATCAATTCACACTCTCTTCCTCAGTACTTTCAGTCCCACTCTGCCTCATCATACTACCAACCTCTTCACCAAGGTTATATTGCTGACTACACTCTATACCTATCTGGTCTTATTTTACTTGATCTCTCAGCAGCATTTGATGCTTTTGACCTCTTCAAACACTTTTTCACATTGAATTCTGAAACTTCCTACTTTCCGGTGCCATTTGAGTCCTCCTTTACACTGTAAGTGACTTACGTTCTGCCCTCATCAAAGTTCTTTACAAAGCCGCCTATGCTTCTCACTGTATGTGTCATTTCTCTGAGCTCATCTGTGCTCAGTGGCTTTGATTATAAACTATGTAATTCCAAAATCTTTACCTCTAAATCAGTATATCGAATTGCTGATTGGACATCACCACTTGTAAGTCCCACAAAACTTCAAATTCAATATGTCCAAAACTTCATCTTCTCTCCAAATCTTCAGTTCCCTCCTGGGAATGGTATCATCTCTTCTGTATCTTGTACTTCAGGCAACAAATACTTTTGAAAACCTGCCAACTTAGGAGAAATATCCTTCAGCAAAGAGGCACAAAACTTTTCTGTAAAGAAAATATATTGCAAATTCACAGTAGATCCTCCAGCAATGTCTAACTGGTATTTTACCAGCCTTTTGACCTTGAGAAAGTTATTTATCCTTTCAGAACCTCATTTTTTTCAATGTAAAATAATAAAAGTTACACAGATCATAAGGATTAAGTACTGCACTGAAACTTTAATATAAAACCTGGCAGAATAAACTCTCAACTAATCTTACTTTTTCAAAAATCACACTATTACTTAGCAGTCTCCTTAGCTGTGCCTTTCTTAGGTCCAGGAGCCTGTAGCAGCCCTAGTCGTGATCCTTATTTTGCAAATCAGGATGAACTTATCTTTAGCAGCAAAGGATTCTAAAGGACTGCGTGAAGTAGCGGTACCTGTCAGCCAGGGTTAATGGGCAGTGTACCCACCGGTATGCTGAGGCAGGTGTAGACTGCCAGTGCCTGGTCTGGTCAGTCAGTGCCCAGCCAAGTCTGTTCTGATTGGCTGATTGCCTCCATGCTGGATGATTAACATTTTGGTCTTATACTCTGTAAAGAATTCTAAACCATTCTGATGAAAATATTAATTTTTCCTCTTCTATGCCCTCTTCTCAGTATGTTTATACTGTATTTACTTTATAGTATTTTAATCAATTGTTTATGTTCCTGGGTTCCTCCGATTTTGAGGTTCATAGAGGCAAAGTCTATACGTTATACATTTATGTGTATCAGTACTTGGTCAAACCTGTCACAGGCAGTTATCATTTAATAAATCCTCATTGAATAAATACATGGAAGAAAGTGTGGTTCTTGCTATAAAGCATAGGAGAAAAACATTCAAATCTCCTTTGTAATGTGTCAAATACATTTAACTGATTTCCAGTTTCAGTCTAGGGAAAATACCTTGCTTTAAACAGATGATCTGATTGATTCTTAATATTGATGTTTTGATAAATTATGTCTAAACATTTTTATCTTATTTTTTAATGTATTTAGATTATTGCTGTTGATAGTATTTTGAATCAATAACCATTAAATTAAATTTCTCTCCCACTATTTCATTATTAAAAATTGAGTATTTTTTACAGGTCTTTGTATTGCCACCCTGAGCACTGCAGTATTGATACGAATTTTGACTACATTTCTGATGGTGTGTTTTGCTGGGTTTAACATGAAGGAAAAGATATTTATTTCTTTTGCATGGCTTCCAAAGGCCACAGTCCAGGTAATGATGGATAGCACGGCTTAGCATTTTATCTCCCATTGTTATCTGATATCTTGATTTTTTAATAAGTGGGCTTACTCAAATTTGGTGAAAATAAGTAATTAAAGTTTGATTTATGAAGAGCTTATGCTAATCTGCTCTTTAAAAGTTTTATTTTCGGTGTATTGATTCCCTAAGTATGATGGCTCATTTAAATTATTTAGATCACCAGGTTTATTTAGCTCAACTAAAAATGCAATAAATGCCTACATTACTAGAAAGCAGTAGAGGCAAGAGACAAGTGTTTGAATTTTTATTAGCCAGCTCTCTCAAACACTGAGAAAGAAAGTTGTTAGCTCTTTTAATTTCAGTATCTTCCAAGAAGAGAGTGAAACAGAAATATCAAGGCCCATCCTAGTATTTGGTAATACTTCAGTTTTATCAATGTGATTGATGATCAGTTTTGCTTGACCACAGTCTTTATATATAGTGGAGAAAGACTTAACTGAAACACAATTCAGAAAGTGCTATATTGATTTCCTAGATTATTTGTTTATATTAAAGTTTTCAAACTAGCTGAACCTCCTGTCAAATATCTCAATCACGTGACCGAAAATTTGTGCACTCTAGTGAACCAGACACTAAGAGGTAGGTGCTTGGAATTACTGACCATGCACTTGGTAGAATGCCTGTAATTGCTACTTAAATTAGAACTGTGTAGATTATGATTTGTCACAAATATAATATGTCCCAAATTGTACTGTATATTTTCAGACTAAATATAGGAAATGAGATTTAATGGTTTCATCCCTGATGATTTTGCAATTGTTTAAATATACAAATTTCTATTTCATGAAATCAAAATCTTAATTTAGGGAGCTCTAGGGAATGTGTATGCTCTGTAACTAACTATATGCTAGATTTGTGCTGCTTAGGCATTATTCCAGAGGGTTTTTTTTTTCCCCCTCTGACTTTAAAAGGTGTCTGAGATATAAGGGCTAAGAAGTCTCTGAGGTTAATGTAGAGCAGTAAGTGGAATAGTTTCTCCCTCACTATCTTCAGCTTCCACACTACTTCTAGTAACTTTAGTAGGTAAATATAAAAATAATCACTCTAGCAGCTTTGATAAAAAAGACTTGTTCCTAAACATTAAAATTTGAAAAATGACACTTTCCTTCTAGCAAAACAAATTTTTTAATGGGGAGAAATTATCTAGGATGTCTTGAATAATGTATGCTCTGTGAAGCAAGTACTGTATAAATTTTTGTTTTTTCTCCTTTGCCACTGCACAAGAAACAAGGCTTTCTTATATGTTTTCTTCCATGTTAGTATTTTCCAAACTTTTTTGTTCATGTAATACTATGATACTATAATATATACTACTATATATATTGTATACTGAGCATATAAACAAACCCGAAAACATACATACACATATACACACAATAGAGAACTGAGAGAAATATACATCATAACATGTGCGGTGCTTGCCAAGAATTTATGAAATGTTGAACTGATTATGGGATTGGATAATAGGCAGTAGCAAAGATCCCTCAAATACAGGTACTAAATTAGATTTTTTTATTGCTCTCTCACCAACAGTCCAGCTTGGGCATTCCAGAGCTGGCAGGGTGACTTCTCTCCTCAGCCTGTGCCTTCCATCCATAAGTCCAACTTTGACCATTTCTCATCTAGTGGGGAAGGGAGAAAGAATAAGGCACAATTGTCCTTTTTTTTCCAGGGAACAATCTACAAGTAGAATTTATCAATTCTGCTCACCTCTCAGTAGCCAGAATTTAGATGCATAGCTTCATCTAATTGCAAAGAAGGCTAGGAGGAAAGTCTCTATTTGAACCAGCTAAAACTCCAGAGTTCTGTTACAGAAGAGAAAAGGGACATTCACTTCTTTGTGGGCAATTAGTGATCTCTGCCATTGTGTCTTGTGCACACTGTTATTTTCTCTTTTTCATTGTCTTAGAGGCTAATATTGTGTTCTGTGGAATAAGAGGATAAACAGATTGACTAACATTATTTTCCATGTGCATTTTGCTGCATTTTGCCTCTAAAAGAAAGGAAGAATTTCCATAAGACTTCCTAGTCTTATGGATAAATTTTAAATACATTTCATCAACTCCTGAGTTAAAGAGTTAATGCTTAATAAGATTAACTTCAAGTTCTGAAGATGCCTACCACTTTCAAGTTTTATAATGTTTAACAGTTACTGTAGGATCTAACACAATACATATTTTTTAGTTTCTTTCATTTAAAACATCACCATTTTCCAGTAAGTTTCAGTGCATTTTTTTTCACCTTGTTCTTTCTAAATCCAAACTCCTAAAGCTAAAAGAATGAGATGACAAGTAACTTCATCTTTACTCAGGAGGAATTGAGTCTATAGAATCATGTTACAGGTTCATTAATATCGTGAGTCTATATCCTCCATGTGTTTTGAGATATATTTGCTTAATATCTTTGTAAACCTACCTTATGCAAATAGGTACAGACAAATCATCATTCTTTCCCCATGCAAGGACAGGGAGAGTTTTCAGACAATCACAGCAACCTGCTATGGGCTTTGAACAAAGACTAATAAAACTTTCTTAGTTGAGCAAAAGAACAAGCAACTTGTTTTTGCAAATGATAAATTAATTCACCTTTTTTCTATGTGCTTGTCTTACCATTTTCCAATATTATCTTTAAACTTTTATAGGCTGCAATAGGCTCTGTGGCTTTGGACACAGCAAGATCGCATGGAGAGAAACAGTTAGAGGAATATGGAATGGATGTGCTGACAGTGGCATTTTTGGCCATCCTCATCACAGCCCCAGTTGGAAGTCTCCTCATCGGTTTATTGGGCCCCAGGCTTCTCCAGAAAGCTGAATACCAAAATAAAGAAGTTCAAGAAGAGGCTTCTATACAAGTTTAAAGGTGAAAAGAGAGAATGCTGAACATAATGATTGGAAAGCTGTTACCAGAGGCTGCATTTATCAGGAGGGATATTGAAACATGGGATGTTTAAATTTAAAAATGTAATAGGATCAAGTGTGGCTATTTCCTTAAACAGCATTTTAAGTGATTACCCTTCCCATGTGGGTGGTAGTATTCTACATCTCCAAACCTGATTTCTACCTTCTTTTTTTTCCAAACACCATCTCATGTCTTAATTTGCATAGGTGCATACAATGTGCTACCACAATTTAAAATTCGCTTGGGAAAGGCCAGGTTCAGTGTCCTGTTCTGCTAGCCAACAGCTTACCCAAACTTACTGTTACTGCTAGTTTCATGATTCATGGTCACCTAGCCTCTCAGGCCTTGAATTGTGTTTGGTTCCTCTTTTCTTCTTTATTTTTAAATACCATAATGCAGTCCCTATCAGTCTCTACCCTCACTCTCCCTTCTAATCTTCATCTTCTACTTTTCTACCTCTCTTACTATCTTTCTGTGAATTATTGCAGCTTGATTGGTCCCACCAAAAATTTAAAAGCACACAAAGGATCTTCATTGGTTCTTTCTTGCACGTATCTCAATGTCAAAAGAGCTTGTGCTGTATCCTCACTGGCAACAGAGTGCCCCATTTCAGCAGCCCATCTGCATTTGCTTTCCCCTAAGGAGTACCCAGAACCAGCCCTTTCTTGTTCCTTGTGATCCACATCTTTGGCCTCTTCCTGTTCTCTAGGTGAGAGATAGCTAATTTTCAAGTCTATGCCAACGTTATGGATATCATATTAATCAGAGTAAGGGAAGCTGCTATAATGATGAAATTAAAAATAGAGTACTTAAAAGGAAATAGAAGTTTATTTCCCTCTCACATAACTTGATATTGACAGGGTTGCTCTCTGCTCATGAGGTTTACTCTGAGACCCATGTATTTCTGTCTTGAGGCTCTGACACGCCCTAGCTTATGACATAGGTTGAAGATGGAGGTCTCCCATGTCTCTAGCTCTCAGAATGAATGGAAAATAAAGTCCAAGGGAAGCAATTTATTTTTAAGAAAGTGATGTGGAAGTTGGCTACATCTCTCCTCTTACATTCTATTGGTGACAACCATCCCCATTTCTGAGGAGGCCAGAAAGTGTTGTCTTTTGCTAAGCATTCCCATTCCTAGGAAGAAGGAAAGATCAGACTTGGGAGCCGGAGGTGCCATTGTGTTGGGTGCTAATTTCGCTTACTAGCATATTCCTACATGTTAACAAGGCTTTCTAAAGATAGTACCTTAAAGCAAAAGAGTGACTTCTGTGGCAGCAATTTCAAGCATTGTGATATGCAGCAGAAAACATACTGGTATATTGGTAGAAAGGTTTATATGTGTAATCACATTTTATTCCACTTATTCAACAGAACCTCTCAGCTTTTGTGTATCACCGTAAATTCCTCTTTAAGTCTACTCCTGCCTACTTGTTGGAATAATCATCTTCAAGTGACGTTTACAGATTTATCTGCTTATATGTATACCTGAAGCATTTACTACTTGCCATATTCCATCTAAACTCTTTAACCTATAATTCAAAGTTCAATACTTTCATGCAGTAGATATTAAATATGTATTAAATGAATGGATTATAAATATTTTAATCCCACCAAGCAGGTCTGCATAAAGCCTGTCCACTCTTCTCTCATCCCTAGACTGCCAATCAGCCCTTAACCTTGACTTCCACGTCTGTTCAAAACTAGCTTTTTATTATATTAACATAATAAATATGTTATAATATTTGTATTATAACTATAAATTATACACTAAATTTATATGAAGCTGTAATAGGTTTCAGTTTTTATGTCAGCCTGACTCCAATTACTCTATGGTACTGTGTTCCCATTTTATTTGTATTCTCAGTTTGGACTGGATTAATTTATACCAGAGTTCTGAAAGATATTTCAAACTGAACTTCATTGGTTAGATGCACCTTTGCAGTGGCAAAATGACTTAATGCTCATCTGGTCCTCTATTCTAGTAGTCTCTGAAACTAAATTCCTTCAACAAATAACTTACTGAAAGCCATCAATGATCCACACATATCACCAAGACAATTATTATTCCTGTCCTTAAGGATCTGACAGTCTGATGGAAAAGATAGACAATTAAACAAGAGATTTCAAAAGTGTGTGGATAAAACTGTAGTATTTCCAGAATATCTCACCTGGCTTTAGTGCATCTGTATATCAACAGGCATTCTTCAGGGGTGGAGAAAAGTATGGCTTTTAGTATTTCTGCATATCAATAGGCATTCCTCAGGGGTGGAGAGAAATTCATCTCCATATCAATGGGTAATTACCTGGGCAACAGAAGGCTTATCTGAACCTGAGAGGTGAGGGGGAGGGCTGGTTTTGCTTCTGCCAGAGCAGGAAAGAGAGATGGCCCTGGACTGTAGTTTGTAAGCAATAAACAGATTTTAAACTTTATTTCTCTCTTTGACTGATTTCAGTTTTAGATATTTTGCCCCAGGATTTCCTCTCCCTGGAGTTACATAGTGTGGTAAGTGCCAAGATGTAGGAAGTCAGGGGTGCTCGGGAGCTCGTAAGAGGAGCACCCAGGCAATCCAGAGGTGTTGCAGTTCAGGCACAGCTTCCAGAGAAAGCAGGCCTCCACTAGCACATGGGGGATGACCAGAACTTAGACAGCAAAAGGCATCTGAGGCAGAAGGGTGCTGCAGTTAGTGCTGGTTCCCATGTTCACCATTAGTTTTTCTCTAAGTAACAGGCTTTGAATAGTTACTAATTTAAACAAAATATAGTTAGCATAAGTAAATGAGAATGTTGTTATAAATATTTAAGACCCCAAAGAGGCATTAGAAATGGAAATTCACAGAGTGTATGTAGAAGCTGAAAGCTTATTTATCACTGCCAGTAGCCTATTCTATTTTTTACAGTATGCAGCAACTTCTTTCTTACCTCTCCTTGGTGGGCAGCTACCAACCAAATCTCTGAGACTCTCTGTCCAATATTGGGCCCTGCAGTACTCACCAGCTTAATCACCACTTTGTAAGTCACAGCTCTTGGCTTGGTTGGTGAACTCAGAATAAACTAGATACAGAGTGTTGACTCAGGCCAACCAAACTTACCCCACCCCAACCACAGATAGAAACAATTACTCTAACCTCTGAGTCTATGAAAGGGAATGTATGTTCCCTATATATACTTCTGTCACAGCACTTACAACTCTTTTTTCAGTTTGTTTACATGTTTGCCTCCTATTAAACAGCTTCTTAGGGGTTGGGAGCCTTCTCTTGGTCATCTTTGAATCTCAGCACTTTGTACAGAGCATGGAATACAGTGGGTGTTCAATAAATGTTTACTGATAAATCAATCATTGAATCAATGAATCAATCCTCTTGCAGTATAGAAAACTCCCTGCCACATAACAGTTCAGTTCCTAGTTGGCATAGTCTGCTCAGGCTGCTATAACAATGTAATATAACATAGACTGGGTGTTTTAAACAATAGACATTTATTTTCTCACAGTTCTGAAGGCTGGAAACCCAACATGAGGGTACCAGCATAATAGGGCTAGCTTACTGATGGCCTCCTTCTCACTGTGTCCTCTCATAGGTGGGAAAGAGATGGGAATGGAAGAGAATGTGTAAGCTTTCTGCTATCACTTATAAGAAGGGCACTAATCCCATCTTGAGGGCCACACCCTCATGACTTCATGTAAACCTAATTACCTCTCAAAGGCTCTATCTCCAAATACCATCACATTGGGGGTGAGTGCTTCAACACATCAACTGGGGGTGGGGTACAATTCATTCCACATACTTCCAAAGTCACTACTAACAAACACTGTAAGTTCTTGTTCTTTACTTCTCTTTTTATTCCTGCAGGGTCATTACAATCCATGTCCCCTCTGGGAAGTATTTTTCTTAGGCAGACTGATTAGGTTTTAGCTTTTTATTTCATATTCCAGTGTTTTTCCCCCCCTTTGGTATTAATTCCAAATGACCTTGATTGTATCAGACAGAAAGACAGATATGAGCAGGATGAAAAGAGGGTGAGGCCCACCAAGAACTCAGGGAGTTTATCAGATTAAGTCAAGAGAGCCAAAAGGACTTGTGCCCTTTGCAATGTGAGTTCATTCCACCATGCTCTGAATCTGGGCTGACCTTGAGACTTGCCCTAGCTAATGGAGGTGAGAGAGGGCAGAGACATGAGACAAGAATCATAATTATTTTCCTAAAAAATGCCAAGATTAGCACAATAAGAACAAGAGCGGCTTATTTTAAGACTAAGATTCCACTTATTAAAAAATGTGAATTGGGAAGTTAGACTAACATTCTTTGGTAATCAGCCAATGGCTTATCTTAAGGCAAGGCAGGCAGTCTTAACTGATCTGTTCCCAATATTTGGGAGTGGCCACTATCTTAGAGAAGAACAAAAGGTTTGTTCTATAGAGTTAGCTACAGGACTGGCTATAGACAATGACATATTGTCTCTCACCAGAGATAAACATCATGAGACCGCCTAACAAGCCTATGCCCCCCAACACTTTACCTTTATCCCATTCTTGAAACTCCTTAAAGACAGAATCCCAGTTTCTGGGCATGCCTCTTCCTCTCTTATGTTGCCTGCACTCCCCTTTGTTGGAGTGTGTATTTTTAAAAGACTTCTTACTGCTCAACTTACTACATTTTGTCTTTGTGGTCTTCCAGTGGCATCTTTGTCACTTCACTATTCCATTCTATTTTTCAGACTTTAAGCGTAAGTCTTCACTCTGTCCTACTCCAGATAAGCAGGGAGGGTCTCCTGAGAGCTCTGATGTGGGCTTACTAGTTCCCATGCCCTAGGTGACCTGGACAGAACTGTGGTATACAATCATAATCCTTAGTAGCCTGCCCGAAAATCTCCTCTCTTTGCCTTGAGGAAGTTCTCAGAGCATAATCTCACTCCATCCAGTGCTCTGTGGCTCCCCAATCCTGGGGTGGTAGGGACTTACTTCCCATGGCGTGCACATTCAAGCAGACAATGGACACCAGGTGACACTGGCTTTAGGAGTTGGCACGGGATGTGCCCTATCCTGAGCAGCAGTTCAGTGAACTTCCCTTTCCTCCCTCTATTTTTCCTTCCTCTAGGCTTTATTTGAAGTAAACCTGCCTTTATCTGCCTTGATTCTATCCCGTTTCTCCCTTAGAGTATATTCAAATAAAACTTTCATTCTGCATCACTACTGTATCTCTACCCTTCAGTTCTTTGTTGTGGCAGGAACAAGAACTGAGTAGATCAAACTCATCACTCCAACAATTAAACTTGGCTGTCCTCAATATCTCCCGAGCTGTACATTTACAAATGACCTTATCCATTATATTCTTTAAAAATAGCACTGACTTTTTTTTCTGATTACAAAATAATATGTTTTCATTGCAGAACGTTTAGAACACAGAAAATAAAGGACGAAAACTATAAGTACTCAATGTAAACAGTCATTTTATTTTGATTCTTTTAAATTTTACTCAGAGTTCTGGAGATGACTTATTTTCAGAAAGTGTGTCACTCACTGAATTAGTTGGGTCAAAGGCAACATAAATTTATTTGACTTCTGTAAAGAATAAATATATTGAAGTTTTGTTGTATATAATGAATGCTAAGCCTTACAAAGAAATCATTTATTCACCTGGTAATATTCAAACATTCATTTTGTAATAAACAGATAAATCCTTGTCTTTATGGAACTTATGTTTTAAAATCCACTCAGTCACTCAAACTAATAATATGCCTGCTATGTGCTAGGCGTTATGCTAGGTGCTGAGGAATACAATGATGACAAAGAGATTGAAGGGCTCTGTTTGATGGATCTTGAATTATAGTGGGAAACTGATACTGGGGGAAAACCAATACGAATAAGATATGATATTTGCCTTTAAGAACCTTACAAGGAAATAAGATATGTACAAATAGCTGTAATCCAAATGAATGAATAGAAAGTGTTCTCAGTGAGGAAAATTTCTTAAGGAATTGCTACTTAAATTGGATACTAAAAGTGTATATGATTTGGATTGATAGGCTAATATTACATAGTAAGGTGAAAAAGGATATAGGTTGAGGACTGGCATATTAGCGAAGTTTGAAAACAGTGAAGTTTGGAGTAGAGTAAGTATTGGCATTAAGGTTGATAAATAGAATTAGTGACAGGTAAGACTGGAAGAGAAAATTGGCACTTAAATCATACCGAATAGATCATTGACCAAATCTGTATTTTTCTCAAAGTGCTTTCAGAAATATGGAAACAAGTATATGGAGGAGAGTTTAAAACTTATTTTCATCATATCAAATTTAGTGAAAAATGCTATCATGAATAATATTCTCCTTGTTACTCAAGTTTTTACTTTCAATGGAATTGTTGCAAATATAATTGGTTATTTTTAAGTTACTATTATTTTCATAAGAAAAGGCATCAGATATTTGTTTTTTTTAAACCATTAAATTTTCATCTTTAAATAAATGAAAGACATTATTTTTGAAATGTTTCAGAAAGTTATATTTCCATATGAATAATTTATGTAGTTCTCTAACAGGTGAGAATGGCTTCATCCCATTTTGGGAACGAGTAATATCACATTTTTGTTGACTGATTCAAATTAAATCTGGCCTGAGCCCTCTGACATGGTGAGAATTCCAAAACTCCATTTTTGGATGTGCCCTCCATCTTCCTTAGATGGGCACTAAAGCGCTTAACTCTCCAACAATTCACTGCATCTAGGGCACACAGGAGTGTGCCTGGAGGCATCAGACTCCTCTCAGGTGTCCTCCTTCACAGCTCTACCATTGTCTCTCTTCCAGAATCCTGCTTTTCCCTTCCCTACCATGAAAACAAAGCATTTCCTTAACACTGCATCACAAAAGGCCTTTTTACTTTCATAAAACAAGGAAGAAAATAACTTTCAATCCTTGAGAGATGTACACCATGCTGAAGGTGAGAGGGTTTTACATTAAAAAGATAATTTATTTGGTCACTCATGAAAGAGTTGCAATTTGAATCAGATATTAACTAATAAATAAGTTAAGGAGAAAGAGAACACTCTGGATAGAGTAACTTTAGAAAACCCAAGCGGGCAAAAAGGAATACAGTGCAGGAGTCATAGTTGGAATATCAGGAGAAAAGTTAGCAAAGAGCAGCTTATCTTTCTGAGAAGTTCAGACTTAATCTAATAACAGTTGTTTTTGTCTGTATTTTAGAAAGCTTGGGTATTCCATTATAGGAACATTAGGACTGAGAATCCAAAGCTCTACGCCCACC